CTGCCACATCGACATAGCTGAAGATTGGAAACAGCGTTGGTTTTCCTCTAGGCTCCGAAATGCCATTAGGCATGTCATAAATATCCACAAAGTTCCCCCTCTCTCAGCCAAATGACAACTTGTACCTTATTATTCTTTAAGTACAGAGCTTATTTTTAAAAAGGGGAGGGGGAAGGAACAGTTATGCCATAAACACATAACAACAACAAAAAAAGTGTTGACTGGTGCAGGGCGATGGAACAAGGAAAGAAGCAGCCATTGCCAAGCTGATCCCCACAGAAAGGGCAAGACGTTTTATGAAAACTGATGGCAGTTTAGTAGTATTTAGGGAGTAGTACTAGTGCTATCAGATGGGAACGTTTCTGAATCTGCCATTGCAAGCATGCAACAATTCTTTTTTTTTTTTTTTTAATTCCAAATGCATTCGCAACTGGAGAACACTTTCCAAAAAGTACGCAATGGGCAGAATCAGAAAATTATTTCCAATAGATGACAGGCGTTCCAGTGTCACTTAGTCCCCAACAGCTCTTCTACAATCAGAAGAGGAGCATCTTCTCTCCTCTTCAGAGCCAGTGAAAAGGACAGAATTAGCAGAAATCAGGCCAACAAAACCACATTAAAGTTAAATTCATGCCTTTCAGTCTCTTTGCCAAAAGGCACTCTTTACCTACCATCAATAAAAACACAGAAATAAACCTCCAGCCCAGTGATGACAAGAGCACCCCTGGCATGTGTCAAAGCTCCTTTTCTGAACCACACTCTTCCTATGGTGAAATCAAGGGCTTACTGAAGTACTTGCCAAACTTTCGTCGACTTTATTAGGGTCCGTATTCTGTTCCTAGTATTTCCAACAAGGAGCTGCCAAGCAGCTGAGTAACTAATGTAGTGGCCAAGTTTGTATGCAGGGAGGATTTATTTTTTTTTCCCCCTGAAAAGAGATTAGTAGGAGCCCTAACACCTTTTGACAACAGGTCTACTTGCCCCATGTCAATGTTTCCATGGTGTTTTATGTACTTACCATAGAGACAGGACTCAGAGACCTTTAGGTAAGTGCTGTCGTCTGAGA